TTCGGGTTTATATCTTGTTAGGAGGAAATCTGAGCAAGACACATGTCGGATTTCGAGAGCCACAACAACCTAAGGTGCGGGACCACAGACGACTGACCTTGCGAACACATTGCCACCATAGCTGTATAGGGGAGTCGYCAAGCACGACACGTGTCGGATCTCGTTGGTCATTAATTTTAAAATTGTCTAATAGATTCTTAAACTTTCAATTTTGCATTCAATTAGTCTCTAAATTTTGAATTTGTGTCCGATAGATATTTGACTTATGAGATACTTTTTTTTCGAAAAACATATATCATATACAAAATCGAAAGTTTATGACTTTATTAAAACACATTTTAACTATTAGAACTTTTCTACAGCGTTTTTTTTTTCTTTTTGAGTTCATCAAAATAATGGGTGAGATGAAAATTTGGATGCTTGAACCAAATTAAGAACTCACAACCTTTAGAATTTAGGGACATAACTGGAAAAATGGAAAACTTATTCAAAAGTAGAAAAGAAAGAAAATACTTGAACAGCCAGGTTTAAAGTTCTCTTTTTGTTTATAAAAAATACTTAGGTGCTTATTAATGAAATCTTTTTTTCTTGGTTGACTACAATTAAATTTTTGAAAATTGAAAGAGAAAAATGCACTACTCAAACAAAAACAAAAAGAGATAGAAAATGCCACAAAACAATTTTCTTTTTTCTTTTTTATATTTGTTAAGAAATTAAAATGCTATCAAATTTTTATTGGTATGGACCTATAAACACGTAATATTGTTCTTTTGTTTATTCTCTGGCTCAAAATTAAAACTAGATGGTTATTTTTCTCCTCCATTTTCTTAATTTCTTCCTCCACTCTCAAAAATTAAAAAGATACATTGCAAATTAGTGCATTACTCACTAGTTATGACATTTATATCCGATTAAAAAGTCGTGAATTTGATATCACCTCTATAAAAAATATATATTTTCCTCATTTTTGAGTTATGAATGCTTTTTCTTATTTTATGAGAGATTTATTTTCTAGTGTATGACAGACTTACACGTGGCATGTTTTGGACGAAAAATTAACACCAATTGAGAAAACGAGCCAACTTCAACACTTGTTAAAATGTTGGAGAAATGATTGATGAAATTTGAAAATTTTAAGAACTCAATTAGATCATTTTTCATGTTTTATATTTATGGTTATTGTTTCTCTTTTCTTATTTCTCTCTTTCTCTCCCTCTCTCTCTTTTTTTGGGGAAAAAAAACTACGTAGGATAATTACTTTGTTTTAATAAGTTGGTTTTTTTCCTTATTTCTTTTCTCTTACGATATAAAATTTTAAAAATCAATGTTCTATATAAACGTTAATTTTCTTAGGGCCGTTGGATAACCATTTCATTTTTTGTGTTTAGTTTTTTTATTTTTAGTTTTTAAAAAGTAGTGTTGTTCGATGACCAATTCAATTTTCTGTATGGATCCTTTTTCAAGTCCATCTCGAATACAATGCGGTATGGTACTCGTGACCCTGCTGGTGGCTGCCACTACCTCACACTTAAATGCTGCCAGCTCAGTCTTCCTACTTAAGCTTAAGGCATCCGYGACCTGGTTGGTCCGTCAAAGCGACAAACTCTAGCACCATATCAATCAAACTTGGCAAGTTTGTCTTGCTTGCCATCGTCCCCRTTTTGGCGTGAGTTTCTTCTAGGTCAGGAAGTCACTCGTCGCCACATTATCCGTCCCATCTTGACCAGAAATTGCGACCCACCTCCACGTTCTCAAGTAGTGCATCACTGTTGTCATCTCCTTCTCTTGGACTATGCCTTTTGGTCTCATTGAGCTTTCGGCTCTCATATTCTACTGGGTTACCTTATTGTACTAGCACACTGCCTATGGCATAGTCTGATGCATCCGTGTGTACTTCAAATGACTTAGTTTCTTCAAAATCTGATTTTTTCTTTAAATACTCAACTTTCTTTCTCATTCTAAAATTTGTTTCTTTCTAAATTTCTCCCTACAAAATTTATTTTTTTCTCTCTAAAATTTTCATATTTTGAATATTTATTATTATTTGTCTCTCCAAATTTTTCTAAATTTTTATTTTTTATGTTTTTCTTCTAACAGATCAGTTTCATTTATCTCTCTAGAAATTTAATATTTCTCGTAACTTTTTTCTYTCTAAAATTTCTATCTTTTATAACTTTTCTTTCAATTCATAATCTATTTTTTCGCTGAAAATTATATTTTCTTTTTTCGTTTAATTTTCTTTCGGTGTAACTTTTATTTATCTATGTATTTATTTATTTTCTCTTAAAATTATTTATTTTCTCTTAAAATTATATTTTGAATCTTGTTTATCTCTAAATTTGTTTCCACTATAGTTTTTCTCTTTCTTTTTCTAATTTTTTTTCTTTAACATATSTTTTCCTCTCAACTTTACTTTTTTTTCTCTAAAATTTTTCTCTTTTTGTCTTTTAACTTTTCTTTCACTCATTTTTTTCTAAATTTTTTTTTATCTCCCTAAAATTTATCTTCCAAAACTTTATTTACATCTCTCTAAACTTGTATTTTCATGTCTCTACAGGGATGACAAAAATTTCCATAGGGTCAAGCCCAAAAATAGGAAATGCATGTCCCGACCCCGTCCCCGATTCCATTTTTTAAATAATTAATATATATTTATCACACTTTTTTTATACTTAAATTCTAAAAATAATTAAAAACAATTATAAAACCGATAATTTTTCTCGAGAACATCTCTCGAACTGAATAACGAGGTGGGGACGGAGACTAAAAATTTTTACGAGCACGAGAATGGGAGCATCCTCACTCGCACCCACACCATTGTCATATCTACTCTACATATAATTTTCTCTCTAATATGTATTTTCAATTTTCTAACTTTTTAAAAACAGAAAACTAAAAATGATTACCAAATTGCTTGGTTTTCTGTTTTTTAAAAACAAAAAACAAAAAATGGTTATCAAACATATATGGTTTTTGTTTTTTAAAAACACAAAACCAAAAACTGTATAGGGTTGATAACCATTTTTTTATAAAAACAGAAAACTAAAAACAAGAAAACCCAAAAATAAAAAATATAAATGGTTATCAAACGGACCCTTCATAAATAATCAAAATTAAGAAAAGGAATTGACCCGACGAGCTATGTTTATATTGATATTAAATTCATTTTTTAATATTTATTATATGTTAGATATCGAATATATAAATTAAATTTACCCAACCCATTAGTTTAAGCTTTCGAGTTGAGTGGTAGTTTTTCATCTTTAAAATTATATTATACTGTCAAAGTAAGCATAGTTTAGCGGTAATTGATACATATCTCTAACCAAGAGGTTGTGAGTTCAAATCCCACCTCTGCCATCTATTGTACTAACGTATGTATATGTATATATATATGTGTGTGTGAATAATAAACCCCTAAATATTATTTACAGCAATATTATCAAATGCGCCTACACACATCTTCTTCTTCGTTTAATTTTTTCAAATTTTTAAAGCGAAGGGTACGTATGTCATTTCAGTCACGTACACAATAATTACGCTGAGGACCGGTTCCTTACCGAACGGGATTTTGCCGATTTTTTTAACCGCCCGATCAGTATCGTTAGAAACTCTGTTACTGTTAGTAACAGATCGCCGTCTCAAATTTTACTTTCTTTACTGCTTGATTCGCTCACCGACTCGTGGCGGTTTGCTAGTGGTACGAAATTTGGCAGTGGGGCCCACCAATTCATATAACTGCGCCGTCAAATTACCCCGTTTACAGATTCCCCTGTCATTGCCAAAACGGGGTCCGGTGCCTGCCCTGGACCACCGGCCATGTCTAGTGGGAAATAATAAGGCGTCAGCTCACCCAAAAGAAAATATTACACAAAATAAATAATAAATAAAAGTTAAATTACACATTTAGTCTTGTATTTCGAAAAAAAAAACCTTTACAATTTTCTTTGTTTCTTATAATTTGAATAAATCTATCCAATCGTCTTTCAATTATCTTTAATCTACTTTAAAATTTTACTTTTTTTTTTTAATTATTTTTCACTTAGCCTTAAATGATAATGCAATTATCATGTAAAACAAATTGCAGTCAATCCACATTTCTCAAAATTAAAAAATCATAGTCAATCTAAACATCTTATGAAAAATACGTGGCTTTTCACTAGTTGGAACCAAATCTTGTCCTAACCACTATTAAATATTTGATAAGGAGATAAATGCAAAAATAAAGAACTTCTTTTTAATAATGAGATGTTACAATGGTTCAATGAGGAGCCAAGTACTTTCTTTACTTTATTTAAAGTTGAAGATTCGATCTCGTACTCCACGTACAAAGAACTAAAAAAAATGACGAGGGTTGGAGTATTAAATATAGAGACTAAATTAAAAATTTTAAAGTTAAAAGACTTAATTGAAATTATGTCCAAATTATTGGGTCAAATTATAATAGCTAAATTCAAAACAAAAAAAAAAGAAAAAAAACACTTATGAACTTTGCTGGTTTTATTCTGTTTATCGTATCAGAGGTTATGTTCCTTTTTGCTTTTTTTCGGGCTCATGGTTTAAAAAATATCTCTTTCTTTTTTTTTTTAAACCTTTTTCATTTCAAAACTACTACTCTTGACATTTCATAAATATTTTTCAAAATATCCGCAAACATTGATTAGGAAGGTTAAGTTGATGATGCAAAATCTAAAATGGTGTGACAAATTAATATTGTATCCTTGTTGAAAAATATTTAGCTCCCTACCCAGAAGGACCATATTGTCTTGAACACTACCATTGAAAAATTGGCACTTCCTCATTTTTTTATTCCTCCATTGTATCAATTGTCATGTTATTGTTACAGATTCTACTGCATCATAATTTAACAGATAAAGTTATATATATATTTATTTATTATAATTTAGCTATTTATAATTTAACAGAAAATGAAATAAAAAGATTAAAAAAAATTCCGGAAGGCTCTCTGAATAACGGAGTCGTCGTCATCACTATCACCATCACCGTCTGAGAGCCACAGTGAGTTTATAGAAAGAGAAGAGAGCTTTCTCTCTCTACGCAGCTCTTCCACTCCACTCTCTCTCTTCAGATTCGTACTGTCAAACACCAACGACCCTACGAACCAATTCTGAGTTGATCAGACGACAGTGTGTGTGAGTGAGTGGGAGATAATGGTGAAGAAATGTAGGGGAGTTGCAGAGATTTCAGTCATGGAGCTCGACCTCAGGACTACCAGAGCCGCCCAGCCTGATTTGGATGATGACGATTTGCCCGCTTCCACCTCCAACAAGAGGAAGATTACGGCCGGAACAGATCTGTTTCAGTTTTCCACCGCCACGACGTCGTTTCTCAAGCTCCGTAGCCGGAGACGACGCCGGATTCTTTTGCCGGAGAATTCGGTTGCTACGGCTCCGCCGGAGACGACTGTCCTTCGCCAGCCGAGGACGAGCTCTACCACTCCTTGCTCAGATGATGATGCGTCCGCTATCTGTTGCTCCAGTAGTAACGGCTGCAGCGAGGTTGTTGAGGAGAGTCGCGTGATCAAGTTCGTGGATCTGGAGGTGAGAAGTTCTGAAAATTTGATTCTGAATTTTGGTCGAGAGATTGTTTGGTACGGTTGTAATAATTTTATTTGATTTGTTTCTGAAAATTTGTGTGTTCATATAATTGCTTTTTCAGGATGAGAATAATGATGAACTTGGAGTGCGAGCGTACGAAAATCGCAGTCGAGAAAGGTTTTTTTCCCGACTCGAGATCTGAAATTGTTGAGTTTTCTGATCTCTTTTTGTGATTTTTGAATTCAAATTTTGAAGAAAGATCAGAGAATGTTTCGTTTCGGAAACGGACTTGCCTCCATTAAATTAATCAATAAATTGTTTCCGTTTGTGATTTTAATTCCTCTCTCTCTTCCTCTTCCTCTTCCTCTCACTCTCTCTTTCGTCTATAAATATACAGTTTGCGAATACAGTCTCATAAAGCTTCAGTACTCCGTTCTTCCTTTCCATCTTCTTGTAGGAGAGAGACCACTCCGTCTAGCAAATTTCGGTCAGCGCAGTCCGACGACATGGAGTCTCCGGCAGGGAAAAGCGAGGCAACTTCTGGTGATACATCGTCTTTGTCAGTAGCGAAGATGCCGACAGAATCCGATCTCGAAGAATTCTTCATATCCGCTGAGAAAAACCTCCAGAAATGCTTCGCAGAGAAGTAAGTATTTGACTACAAATCAAACTCAGCAAAACGATCTAATCAATAGTTTAATTATTTCTTCAATTTCTGGTTAAAAACGTACGCTGTTGATAAATTAAGATTATTAACGGTTTGAGATTCTTCACACTTTTCAGGTACAACTACGACATTGTTGAGGACGTTCCCTTGGAAGGACGTTACGAATGGATTCGATTAAAGCCATAACAGAAGACAAAATCAAGAAAATAGAACCATTCTGATCTCTCCTTAGCCTCGTATATTAGCTTAATCCTCCATTAGAGCGTACGTACTAATTCAATCCTTCCTTCTTTGTAGACTTCCCTCTCCTTCTCTCTTTTTTCCTTTTCTGATTGTACAGTTAGCGCTCTCTCGTTAATTTGTTCTTCGTACGGGTTATACGGAGAGAGACGCTTCTGCAGAAAAAGAGAAATTGTAAATTCCTTAGCGGATTAGGAAGAATTTGATCCAAAAAAGAAAAGAAGAGAAAAATCTTATTCGAGAAGATGAGCATCTAAAATTCGTCAGTTTGCTACACACGCTTCCACATGATCAGTTCTTCACTGGTACGATTCCCAGTCTGAAATTCCTCCTTATTTTTCGTTCTTTTGAATTTTAGCTATTATTTTTTATGGACAGATTAGAAACTCCCCTTTCATTTGTCCTTTTGCTTACATAAATTTGTTTCTTATGCTCTTTTTTAACTCTTTCTTCTTCTTCTTCTTCTTTCAGATTCTTATAAGCTTGTTCTTGTTCTTTATCTGTTCTCTTTTGATCTTTTACACATTTTCTTCAAAATTTTATCCAATTTTCCGTTTCATTCTCCGTTGATTAATCTTTTTTTTTTCTTTTTCTTTTTCACTTCCCGATTCCCAAACAAGGGCTGAGAGAAGAAATCTTTTATTCTTCTCCAACTTCAGATTAGACACAGAGGCCGGGGCATGTGGAAACAAAATCAAGGGAAGAAAGAATTGAAAAGAATAATTTGCTATTTACAGCACACACCCAAAAACCAAATTATCTCTCTAAAATTTTCCAGATCGAATTTTCATATCCCAAAATAAAAATGCCGAGAGCTACGGAATGTCAAAAATAACTTGGATTTTTCTGTTATTGCTATTTTCCTCTCTCTCTGTGGTCCCCTTTCCAATTATTGGCAGTTAAATTTTATTTTGAAAAAAAAAGGGGGTTTAACTTTTTTTTTATCATTTTTTTTCCAAGTGAATTTTGGACTAATAAAATTTAAGTATTTACGGGTGAAAACAGCCGTTAAAAAAAATTGATAGTTATTTTTTACTACTCCAAAACTTACCTCGTAAAGAAAAAAAAAAGTTAATGGGGAAAATAAAATTTGGGTGTAGGGGAAAGCTATGTGAAAAAGAGAAGGATAAAGTTGCACATGGAATTAGATTCCCTGACATGGCCGATGTGGGAAGGGGAATGAAAAAGGGACGCTTTTTTTCCTTTTTTTTCCTTAAATTAATAATTTATTTATTTATTTTAAAAATATGAAAAATAATAATAATAATATATATATATATTTACTGAGCAAGTGTTGCTTTCTGTTACGGTTTAATGATTGCGAGGATGAGTTCTTTCTTTCTGGGCACGATCTGTTGCAGGTTTCATGTAATTCCGTGACAAATTTCTTCCAATTTGATTTTAGGATTAAATAATATTTGAGATTTTATGAATTTTAGTACCATTTGTATTTTAAAATGCAGATGTCCGACATCTAGTGATGTCTGAAATTTCAGATAGTTAGAATTTTAGATGTCCGGTATCTCCATATAGTCATATTTGTTTCATAAGAAAAGATAGTCGAATTTGATTTTTAATGTGTTAAATTTATAGAAGGTTCCAAAAATGCCCTCACCAATACTCATATAATTTATAAATTCATTTAACATAATAAATTCATTTAAATTAATTTAATATTTTATTTTTTTATATGTTGTTTTGTAGAGCAAATTAGTTCAATATATATTTCATTTTCAACTTTAATATTTTTCCAAAAAGATAATCATATAATTCGTATTATCTTGGATAAAATTTATTTATCTTATTATTTTTTTTAAGAGGAAAGATATCACAGATATATTGGTCGTCAAAAAAATTGTTACTTTAAAATTATATATTTATGATAATAAATATTATTAATAATATAACTCCTTCAAAATATTAAAAATAAATCGAAATATTATATAATTTAATTGCAGTTTATTTTATATGTAAATGTAATGTACAAATATACAATTAATTACATAAAATTGCTTATTAGACAATGAGTCCATTAATTTATTTAAATTATAAATTTCAAAATAAAATAAGAATTTTTTGGGAAAAATAAAGAAAATTGATGAAAGAAAATATATTGAAAAAAAATGAAAGACAAAAATGTAAAGAGCGAATGCCCTCAACACGGGTATCTGATACCCACGTTTCAAAAGGAAATCCAAAACTCGTTAGATGCCTCCTATACGGGCATCCTAGGATACTCGAGCATTTTGAGATACTCAGGTATCATACATTCCCCACAAAACAAATGTGGGAATCTAGATATCCGTCCAATCCAATGGGAATCTTGGATTCCCACGAAACAAACGGCCTCTTAATTCATATATATACTTTCAAAAGTTTTGGTCATTTTTATCTCAATTTTTTCTACGGTAGTTTTAGAATAGCATGACAGTTGACACTGTATTAGTTAAATTTCTTGAAACATACCTAATTTGTATTGAAGTATTTTTATTGTGTATAAAATTTGTGTTAAAATTTTATAAATTGAGACAAAAAAAAAGTTACTTTTTAAAAATACATAGACTAAAGAGATACTTGGGAAGTATAGACGTTAGAATGAACAAAATTATATGGACTAAGATGAAATAGTACTCGAACCAAAATAGTGTTTAACTATTGATTTTGTCTTTTGTTTTAATTAATTAAAAGAACAACGAGATGATGGGTTTTTGTTCCTTCTCTAATTTGTGGGAGGATAATAGAATTTCTAGTTCAATAATGTGGGCATTGATTTTACTAATGAATAATTCAAGTTTTTTTTAACACGAATAATTCAAGTTGATATGATAATAATACTAATGGCAATAAAATCTTTTTTTAAAAAATGGTAATAAATTCAAACAAAAAAAAAATACTAATGGCAATTGTACTCCAAAAAAAAAAAGAGGAAATAATTGGAGACTTGTTTTTTAAAACAAAAATATTAAATTTGACGTACTTTTTATTTTCTTCATTGAAAAATGGACATTTGCTTCATTTATGAAATCTATTTTTAGCTTTAAAGTTTTGGTACCAAATATGGGGTTAATAAGGTAACTTGGAGTTATCAATTACGGGGATAGTTGTTAGCTAGAGAAATTAAAATTTTTAGGTTGACAATCTTTTTTATCGTTAAAAAAATTTCCAACTTGGTTAATTATCCTAAAGTCAAAATACATACAAAATTACAAAGAGAAAGAAAATCACTTAAATTAATGTCAAACCGAGCATAGCTTAAGACACCTATGAGTTCGAACCCCACCCCACATGTTGTATAAAAAAAAACCACTTAAATTAATTTCATGAAAAAGATTAAAAATAAATAAATAGTGGAAGTTTGTCATTGCAAGTTGCAAGAAAACAATTTAAATGCTCATTTGACAAATTTCTACTTTTCACATGTTCTAGTTGTTTTATGTTCCTCTTATTAATTCTTTTTTTTTTCCTTTGGAAAGATTCCTATTATTAATTCTTTGTCCATATTGTTTCAATCAAAAAAAAAATAAAAAATTCTTTGTCCATATAATTCATGACAACCCTCGCAAAAAAAAACTCAAGACCATGACATTTATAATATCTCTCAATAAAACCAAACGAATATTCCATCAATACCTTTGTCAGTACCTTGTAAAATTTTACATTTATTTCTCTAGAAGAAAATGGTCATTTTCGGAACGAAAATATTTACCCGCATGGGTAAAACATTTTTCTATCGATCCTCTTCGTTGATATTACCGATGTGTATATGAGTGTATATATAGATTGCAAAGGTAAAAGTTTAAGGACATAATATAAGTAATAGCATAACATTTAAAAATAATAATTAAAGATTAAATAAACATAAATTACATCGGTACTAAAAGTAAGGGTGGGGGATTGAACTTACAATCTCTTGATTGGAGATATATGTCAATTACCATATGCTTGTTTTTGGCAATTACATCTTTCTTTTAGTTTAGGAACAAGCGAGAATATACCTTCAAAGCTCTTACATTTATTGTAAAGAGTTTCGACATGGGTCAAATTGCATACCTAAGACACAAGGAAGCATTTGCAATAAATATACATACATACATCTATTATAAGCATTTTATTAATTAATTAATTTATAATAATAGACAAATTTTTTGAGTACAATATGTTAACTTGTTAAAGTAATCTAAGTAATTCCACTATATAATAGATTTCCATTGGACGGATATATGAGCCGATTGAAATTTGGTAAATTTTCCTTTCGTGTTTACTAGAATATAGAAATAAAATCAATTGATGAGATTTAATCCAATTTCTCTAAGAATGAGTAATTTCATTTCTCAAGAATAATCTCATTCTCATCCCATTCGTCTCACACAATTTCATTAATATTTTTTTAGTTTACATAATTTAATTTTACATACTTCTTACTTGTTAATATTTAAATAAATTGTTAAAATAAAAGATATTACTATTAAAATAAAATAAAATATATTAATATTTGAATACAACATGTTGGGGGATTCGAACTCACAACCACTTGGTTGGAGGTATATGCCAATTACCGCTAAGCTATGCTCGCTTTGGCATACTATGAAAAATGTTGATTCGTACCTTAAATCGAATTCATGAAGAAATGTCAATGAAAATGTTGACGCGTGGACGAAAATTTAATACCCGGTCACGTATAAATTATATTCCCTTATTGCCCCTACCTTCCTTCCTCCCGGATTCCTGGACAGACATCCAACGCCAATAACTGAACAACCGCTTCAATCCCTCTAACGAACGAGCTCCGTCAATCCAATAATGATAATAATAATAATAAAGAATTATAAAAATAAAATAAATAAAAAATAATAATTTTCTTTTTCTATTTTAGAGCCAGAGGTGGGGCTGCTTCTTCTGGTTGATCTTCGCCATTTTTGTTCGCTCTCCCATCTTGTTCGCGTCACAAGGTGTGGTGGTTAACGATTATGGATGCTTGATCTTCCCCAACGCAATGGATGTTGATTTCCGGCGTAAATCCCAGTCCACCCCTGCTCGGAGATCTTCGGCGGCGGCGGCGCTGGTGGTGGACGACGACGACGGAGGTATGGCGCTTTCTCAGGTGGTCAGGAGTCCCAGGAACAGGCTCTCTTCATCCTCGGTCCGTATTCCTCTTTCCCTCTCTCGATTTCCATGTCTTGAAATCACGGAATGAGTCGAATGGAAATGGATTCTGATCGTTGTTGATCGATCCTTGGTCGTTAAGGCGCCGCGTTGTGTCGCTGTTGTTTTTTAGGTTCTTTCGGGGAATTTATTTTTGGTTATGATCCTGTTTGTGTTCGCGATTAACAATAGGTGATACGCATTGGTACTAGGGTAAAACGCGGAAGCCAATGGAGGACAATCTGATGGTTCAGAAGGTTAAGAAGAGGCTTGCGGATTGGAAAACCAGCCATGTGAGACGACACTCTGTTTCTTTTTTTGTTTCTATCGTAGGAGGGATAAACTTCTTCTATGACTTTTGGAGAAGTTGCTGCTCGGGAACTTCGATGGATTCTTGGCTAATCAATTTTTTAAAACACGAGTGTGGAAAATTCTGTTTTATCTGAAGGAATCTAATTTTGTATGCATTCTATAAATATAGGAATCAAATTGATATTATAACACGTGAATAGACTTCTTAACTCTTGAGTAAAAATATAATGATGATAATCGCCAATTCATTTCGGGACATATGAAGAGTTCTGAGATTCATTTCTTCCAAATGTGATGATGTAGTTCAATATTTGGGTTACTTCCAAATTTCCAATGATAGGGTTGTTTAACTTATAATCTTCAATCGAGCTAGACTTTTTTTATCTCCACAAGTGCTCATGTAATGTTGATTATTACTGGTATGAAAAGTGGAAGGTCCCAAATCTTGGATGATATAAGACAGATCAAAATACTAACGGGCAAGGTAATGAAAAATTACAAGGAGTGGAACATATCATTGAATTGCATGTTTTGTCCATTTGAAAATGAACTTATTTTCAAACCATTTTGATTGATTGATACCTTCGTTCCACCTAATTTCTAGCATTAGTGGTGCAACAAATGCAGCCTCCATAGATTCCTCTACTCTTTACTAGAGCAATTTTTAATTGTTATAATTAGTGTTGGAATGTCGGGAACTAACTAATCCAAAATTCTGAACAATGCTTGAACAGGCTGTAACTGGTCCTGGAGGGAAGTTTATGAGGTAGGTGAAATATGGCATATGGTTTGCTTCTGTTACATATATGTATTTATGCATGCACAATTATGTACACTTACACACCACACAACTGTCATTTAAGTATTATCTTACGACAAGAATATCTTTGTTTTTGAAGCTTTGAGCAAAATAAAGCAGCATATGACGATCAATGCTCTCCTGGGGAATTTAAATCGTCGGCTGTGATTCATGCACTAGAGGTTCGATCAAAGTTGGAACCGGAATTTCCTAGCTTTGTGAAGTCATTGGTCAGATCACATGTTGCTAACTGTTTTTTGATGGTAGGCTCAGTAAAAATACATGATTTAAGTTGACTCATATAATTGATGAAGTAATTGGTGGCGTTTCCAATATTTTTCTCTTTGTAAAATAACAGGGGCTTCCTGGGTCATTCTGTAAGTCTTACTTGCCAGTAAGAGATAGTACGATGATTTTAGAAGATGAAGCTGGGAGAAATTTTCAAGTAAAATATATTGCACATAAGACAGGATTGAGTGCTGGATGGAGACAATTTTCTGCTGCACACAGGTTGCTTGAGGGCGATGTTTTGGTCTTCCAACTCGTTGGGCCCGCTAAATTTAAGGTAATATCTTGTGTTTCATTATCATAATGTTCATCAACTTGTTGAAGTTTGAATATTATATTGAATGAAATGGTATATCATTTCATTTAAATGCAAAAGAAGAAAAAGAGAAAAAAATCATCCGTTTTAGTCAAATAGACAGACAATATAACTAGATGGACTACAAAAAGGAGTCCGTCAAAAAGGAGTCCGTCTTATAGAAAATATTAAGGAACATACGGGATTGAGTGAATGGATGGCAACTCCTTGAGAATTTAATCATTCAAATATATCACCTCATGTGTGAACTACTTTATTTTGTTTGACAGTGATATCAATACGGGATTGAGTGAATGGATGGCAACTCCTTGAGAATTTAATCATTCAAATATATCACCTCATGTGTGAACTACTTTATTTTGTTTGACAGTGAGATATATCAATATTTTGTTTATGTACTTAATATAAATATTGAGATAACGGTTTGAGTTGAAGAACTCTTGCTACATTATCATTTCATTTCCAAATTAGTATTAACTACAGAAGTGTAAGTTGCTTAAATTTTTTAGTAATTTTTTTTAATAATGTTCACCAAAAGAGAGAACAAAAAAAAGATAAAAACAAATTTTTTATACTTCAACTATGCCCCTAATTCAGAATTACGGTCTTAGATATTTTAGAAATGTGAAGGGCATCATGTTTGAGATATATTTGATCAATAGCTACGTAGAAGGCTAGAACTTAATCATTTTCATTTGGCGGATCGACAAAGTTTCTAGCATTTGCTTTATTCACTTTTTTTCTTACAAGGAACGATAAGCCTCCAATATGGCTCACATTTACAAGGAGAAAAGCGGGTAAGGGTGTTGCAGAAGATAAGGGATAGACTCTATTACGAGCGAGTGTTATGTGCATGAGATATGAGGGAATGGAGGACATCTTTAATACAGACAAAAAGAAGTTTGTTAGAGTGAAAATTGTATCAAGCTGGCTGGTCAGTGGGATGGTCAGAGGGAAGGGACTAAGGGAGAAGGTAGTCAATTAGCTAGCAGTATCTCTGTGAGTAATATCATGAGTAGTGAACGTCCCAAACCTCTTGAAAGTTGGCTATATCCGGTTAATTGCTTTAAATTGGTGCCCGAGCACTTTTGTGGGCTCGTCAAGAGGAAAGAAAATGAACATATAATGGAAGCCAGAGAGTCTATATTTGGAGCTGTAGTAGTGGAAGTCTAGAAGATTCTGATGGAACACCACTGTATTGCTGGATGGAATGAGCAAACTTCTGCACCAGTTGGAAGAGTGTTAGTGGTTCAATACTGAGCCGATAGTGCAAGGAAACGAGGGAATAGGTACCAGCTGACTAGTTTGTGGGGAAGTAGGCAAGTCTAGCGCCAGGGAGTATCGTGATGGAAATGGGGGAGGAATATAAGATCCTGCGAGAAAAGGACAATAGGTTGAGGTTGTTAGTTGGGAATCATTTGCTTGGATTTGAATCTACAATTTCCTACATTCCACCTTGAAAACAAGGTGAAAGTTTAGGTTGGGGTTATTGATAGGAATGCTAAGCCTCTAATCCAGTTTTTATGTATACAAGGTGAAAGATGGGTAAGGGAGGCAGGGAAACTAAGCGTTAGGGGATAGTTTCTATTATGGGCAGGTGAGTGATGTGCGTGTGGTATGAGGGTAGGGATGATATGTTGTAACACATACAAAATGGAGTCTGTTAGAGTGAGAGTAGCATTTGAGTAGTAAGTTGGAAAGGAGATCAGTTAGCAGTAATGACTGATCTCGTGACAAAGGAGGAGAGCTCCCTGTCCTCTTTAAAGTTTGTCTATATTGGAACTGTTTTTCTCTAATCTGAGAAGTATCTAGTGAATTGCTTCAAGTCCTATATTTATTGGCATGTAACCTTACTGTCATTTGCTAATTCCCAGGCACAATCATGTGTTGGCATGGAATAAGTTTCTTTATAAATTTCAGAATTTCATATTCCTCGTGAATTTAGGCATACAGTGAATTGTATAAGTGGTTTGGATGTTGAGTTAGATCAAGGAAAATTTCGTGATCGTTAATGATTGGAGGGTTAAATAGCTTCTTAGGCAGGGGTTTCCTCTACCCCGGCCATTGGGCTGTTTTCAGAACCGTTGTGTTGAATATATATATTTGTCTCTTATAAAAAAAAGAAAAATTGTTATGAGCCTGAGAATGTTAGTTTAGCAAGTTATGTGAGATGAATTATTCATAAAGGAAAATAAGTTAGACTACTATTAAGTAATAATAAATGGTCATATTTACAGTAACCCTTAAGCACTTGAGTTCAATGGTAATTTAACATGATACTAGAGTAGGCATAAAGTAGAAGGTTCTGTATTCAAACACCATTCGAGCAACTATAATGTCATTTCCTCTCCAATTAATATTGATAACTATTTGTTGGGTTTTGTGAAAATTTCCAAGCCCACAAGGGAGAGTGTTAAGTAATAAATGATTAAATTTATCGTGGCCTATCAGCTTGAGCTTTTGGATTAAAGGGTAATTTGACAAATATGTCACTATTAATCAATATCTTGTCACTTTATGATTTCTCCCGGTTCCAAATCATAGGAAGTGTTGTTTATTATTTACCTGCTGATAAATTCTTAGATGATGGATTTGATTGCAACGTGTTTTAAATTTGTTTTACATGGCCATCATCTAGGAGAAATTATTCTGCATGGATTGATGTAATACAGGTTGAAGGTGGTTAGTACTACTACTAATAGTATGCTTTGGAAGTATTTGTTTTCAATACTCTAAACACTCTTTCCACTGATCAAAATATTTCTCAAAATTTTCATGATCTTTTCTAACTACATAATTGGTACTACATCTTTTTTTGGTGCTTGCATGAATAGAGTATTTCATTTAGAAACTTTACTCTCGAAAAGATATTCAAAATACATTCTAAATGTATCAACTATGCCTTCCAATTCGTCAAAGTTCATCTCTCTGGTGTAATTTGTAAAACGCCATATCTAATTTATATTTTTTTTTGTCCTGGCTGCTTAAAATTCCGTTGTGGACTATATTTGTTATGAGCCTTTAACTTCGTACAATCAGACTCGGACTGAATTAAGCAAAGCTGGTCAATGCATAGTGAAACTGAATTTTTCTGTGTTTTAACATGCTTTTGTTCTAATTATTAATGACCAATATCTTGTTTGTTACTTCCCACTAATTTACTTCTACTGTAGGTTTATGTTACAAGGGCAAGTGATGTAACAGAAGTGGACGGTGCTCTTGGCCTACTCAATTTGGAGTCTCATACTAGGCACAGCGATGTCGGTAGGTCCATTCACTGATACTCTTTAGATACCATCTGTTCATTTGCAAATTTTTGTATGTTAATGATTCCCAATTCTCTTGAACCTTGACTACAGGAAAAGAGACCGAGAATAAGGCCGAGGTGCGCAGCGACATTTCAGACAAAAAACGTGCAAAGGGGGCTCTACTCGACTCTCCTGAGAAGCAGAGAAAGCATAGCCCATTGAGGTCAGCTCCAAGGCAGGTAGCAGAATATTCTGAAAATACTAGTGAAGTGGTTGTTTCAGAAACAGTGGAAGCTGCTTTCAACCTCTTTCAGCCAGCGGTTCCATTTAAGGACATCAGAAGTTTTGATGACTTCAACATTGTAATAGATGGGCTATCAATAAACCCTGAACTGCCAAGAGACCTGCGGAAAAGGTACTTCAAGCTTTGCTGCAGTCAGAACATGTTCCTCCACGAAAATCTCATCCAGGGCATGAACCGAAACTTAGTTACCGGAGTTATTTCCGAGACGATCACTATCGCCGATTGCATTAAAGCTAGCGACCTCTCTACTTCACGGGACGAGTTTTCTGCCTGGGACAAAACGCTCCGGGCCTTTCAGCTTTTTGGAATGAATGTTGGATTTTTACGTACTCGGCTCCATAGGCTCGCAAATCTTGCGTACGAATCAGAAAACGCCTTAGATGTAAGAACGTTGGTAGATGCCAAAAATGACCAAGTTCATGTGCATGATGAGATCAGAAATATTGAGACAAAGCTTGTTGAGTTGAAGGAAGCTTGTGATAGATTTGGTGCTGCCATTGATGGCTTAGATTCAAAAGCTGAAGTTTACAAGTCCAAGTTCCAGGAAGAAGTTTCAGCTCCATGGTAATAATATATATACTCTACTCCCTGTAATATAACACCATTATATTTTTTTTTCCTTTTTAATATAATGCTTCGTGCATTTTGTTTTGTTTTTGTTTTTTTTTTATAAAAAAAATCTAATCTCCCCGTCCACCGCTTGTGAAAATGTGTAGAGACAAAGAAGCTATGATGTAAATTCTCAGCTCATGATCATTTACAGTAGGGGATTGTATACACATATACTTTACATATAAAAAGAACTTGTAACCAATTCAACATGAGATTGGATGATAGTGATTGAGCAAATGACTTGTTCAATCATATGAAGCTAGCCAAATATTCGTTTCGAAGCTTCGAGTGAACATTTGTCGACTAAAACGCCACTTTTCCCTTGCGTTCCGCTCTTCAACATGATCAGAAACAACATCCTCTCTCAAACGAGTGGGTAGTAGAGTTAATTCGAGTTGCAAATTATTCAACACTTGATCATGAACATTAGCTGCAATGTGCTTTATTGTGGTGTGGTAGCAAGAGTTCCTATACATATTTTATCACAACACAAAATCAATTTAATGATTCTTTCATCGAGGAGCTACTGAATCTAATAATTTCTACCAAATATTAGAGATCTTAAACTTGGTCTTAAAAGTTCATTTTTCTTGTAAAGCCAATCTAATGTCAACTTCAGTTAACGTATCTTACTCCTTCTTGATAGACTGAATATTCGATCTCTTCATCCCACGTTTGTTATAACTAAAAAAATAATAACTATACTATCTAATTGTATGAGTATATATTTATTTATTACATTATAAAAAATTTGTAGGGTTGTGGACTGTTATAATATTTGATACTTATTCATTTCTTATATTGAAAAAAAAAGGTTTAATATAAGATTGATGAATGATAAATTTTGACAAATAAAAAAAAATTCACGTCATTATATTTAAATTAATTATGGAATTAATATATTATTGAATCTGGGACCAATTAATATTCAATTAGTGTCTGTAAATTAAATTAAAAGACAAAAAAAAGGGCAAAACCAAATAACGTTACATGTCTTCTTTATAACCGTTTGATCATACAAGTTGGCATGATCAAATTGAGTCATATTAGTCCACACATGAAAATTTTCTCTCTATATATACTTCTAATTAAATTTTAACAATTTAGTCCTTTAAACTTTGGCATATAACTATTTATTTTCGATTGTTTAGCATTTATAATAATTTACCATCTACCGTAAAAAGTCGTGTTGAGGTATAATACGGCCGATTTGTCCTAGCATCTATCTAGATCCCACATGTGACTCTGAATGGTTGCCATATCAAACTCCATTAAAAACTTTAACAATATTTTTTTACAATAGAGAGCGTCAATCGAAAAAAAAAATTTGTTTTTTGATATCCGTGAGTGTCCAAGCCAGTTTATGCACATCTCGACTAATCTCACGGGGAAGCCACTTAACCTTACAACATTTAGTGTTGGGAAACACATCGAAATTAATTTCTAAAGTAGGTGGCCATCGCTCAATCCTCACATTACAAATTATAATAAACTATTGAGATGAGACTAAATCTTAAAACACCAAAGTTGAGAGGGATTGAATGGTTAATTATAAATCAAAACTCAAGAAGAGGGGCAAGTGGATTTTATTTTTAAAATTTTTTATTTAATTTTTGGGAAGGTTATATTAGAGAGGTGAGGTGATAATAGAGAGAGTAGAAAGTAGGAGAAAAAATGTTGGAAAATGGAAAAGGAAATTAAAGAAAGAGAGAGAGAAATAAATAAATAAATGCATAGATAGAGAAGAAATGAAAGTGGCAATGTCCTTGTGTTTTTTATGTTGGTCTGTGTCTGTGGTTTCTGTTTCTGAGCCATTTTTCAGAGTTCAGAGCAGCGACCACCATTACCATTCCAAACAAGGGTTAGGTGTATGCTTTTAAACATTATTCACACCTTTCCAACTCCCCATCCATTTTCTACTAAATTGAATTTCAATTTCGTGTCTAACCAGCAATCCCGTTCGCTTCAAGATTGCTGTCGAGTTGTGCAAAGATTACGTGGTAGGTTGATTTCGTGCACGTTAAGCTTTTGCTGGCTTAAACGATAGTCTTAATTAAGTTAGTCGTATAAATTAAACCATCTAAACTTTTAGATAGAAGTTTTTCTTTTCTTTTTTTTAAAGAATAATATTTAGGTACTTTACGATCAAGTCGTAGGTATATTCTGTTAACTAATATTAAAAAAATTGATAGATAAAAGAGATGAATGCAATAGATCTTTTTTTTCTTTTCTTCAACCAAATAAAAAGTTGTCGGTTCAACTAGTTGAGCCATATATCCCAACCAAAATGTGGTTCCGAATCATATGTTGTACTAAAAAAAATTGTAAAATATTATTCTTTCTAAGATAGAGGGACTAACCGGCACCAAAAAAATGTTTAGAATCTTTTTATTTTGTTAGTTTGGTGGGAAATCGAACTATTTATATTTAGGATGGTAATATATGTCTTATTCACAAGTTCACGTTGAAATTAACAAAATTTTAGAAATCTATCGAGAATTTTTTTCTTTTTTTAAGGGACTCTGTATTAAATTTATAGCTTAACCATTTATGTTAAGAAGTAAATACAAACCAAAATAAACAAATTAAATATATATAAATGGGAAAATCTGCAGATCTACCTTGAAATTGTGTGTATTTAATATTATTATTATTATTATTTTTTTCATTTTAAAAAACTATATGAAGAATCGTGGCTTAGCTGTCCACATTAATTTCGTTTTTGGAATTTGCATTGAAACTCTCGCATTCTTAATCAAATCTTATAATTCTTCCTTCTCTTTCAAATATTTCTTTTGACTTGCATTGTTTAAGGAAACTATATCAATCCATATTATTATTATTTTTATTGTTATTTTATAATTTGGAAGGATATGAGTTTGGTATAACTTTTCAAATCCTAAAATGTCTTTTTTAACCGATTAAAAGTACTTTCAAAAATTCGTCGCTTTTCAAAAGAGTGGTCGAGATAATTTTTGAAAGAAGTGTTTTGAATCTTTTTCTCAAGAATAATATTTAAGTGTTGTTTGGTCCGTTCTTATCTCAAAACATCAAAGAGATCTAATTTTAAATGATAGTCATGAAAATAGACGTTGCCCATCAACATCCAAATATTGTTCTTTTTTCGATAGCTAATTATATGCTTTTTCTGAAGATAATTTAAAATTTTTTGAATATTACTAAAATTTCGAAAATATTATCCACCCTCTTCACCCTAGTACTAGTACTTTTCTTCTAAGAACATCAACATTTTAAATTTGAACCTAAGACTTATGAGAAAGGTTAAATTCTTCGGCCAGTAATACCATTTTGAAAATTAGGAACCTTGCAAAATTACTGATGAGAGAAAAACAAAGGAAAAAGGAAAGTAGAGAGAGAGAGAGAGAGAGAGAGAGGAGTGAAAAGTTGAAGTGGAAAAGAACATTTTTGTACAGTGAAAACACCAAACTTTTGAAGACAACATTAATTAATCAACTCCACAACTTAACAGTTAGCTACAAATCTGAAAAAAACATTAACATAGAACATAAAAAATCGAAATGGTTAAAAAGAAAAAGAAAAAAAAAACGAACCCCGCTTGAACAAGAAGCTCTGCATTTGCCCATTTCCATGTAATCTTCTCTCTCTCTAGAAATCAATCTCCACGTCTTTGCAACTCGGCCCTCCTTCGTTTTCTAACTGAAAAAGGAGACGAGTCGTTAAAATAAGCTCTCGATTACTAACATGAACATAGTTGAATAGTTAAGATATCTCTATATCTCTCGTTATTTTGAAATTTGTATCCAACAGTTCTTATCGAAACTAACCTGGGATGAATTGGGTTTGGTGGCATGTGACGTGGTCCAACCGAACGGCCTTTTACCGTCAGCCACGGTGTCACTGCCACCACTGCCGCCACTTGAGCCGTCGTTTTGGTAGCCCTTCTTGGTGGCATTGTGGGACTTTTTCAAGCCGAGGAAGCCCTTCCACCGGCCCTTGGAGGGGCGGCGGGAGATGTCGTCGTCTTCCTCTTCCTCGTCCTCGTCCTCGAGAAGAAGCTCGTCGCGGAGAGTGGTGGGCCGATGGAAGGGGTGGTGGTGGGAGTGGGAGTCCTTGAAGGGGAGAAGGCGGCCCTCAAAGAAGAGCTCGTCGGCGGGCATCATCGAGTAGTTGGAGACGGAGAATTCGAAATCGGAGGACACGGGCGGGGACGGGGACGAGGTGGCAGCGGTGGGGATGGCGGTTCGGGTCTGCTGGAGATCGACGAAGTCGCTGGAGAAGGAGATTCGGGGGCTGGCCGGAGGACGGTGGTGGAGGGACTTATGGTCGGAGTTGTACATGTCTAATTAAACATGCCATGAGAGATTTGAAAGAAACATGAGGAATTGAGGGAAATGAACCTTTTTTTAACAAACTTAACTATTTATATGTCTTAACAATCCAATCCCCTCTCCCCTCTCTCCTTTTTTTTTTCTTTTTTTCTCTTTGGTTTTGACGGCTGTGTTCTTTTTCCATCACTACTTCAAAAAATAAAAATATTTTGTATGTATTAAGCATTCGTCCACATATATCAGGTAGATATTTTTGTTCCAGTAAATGTTGGGCTGGCATTTAAACCTCTGACTTCAAGAGGAAGAGCAAGATGTCTTTAATGAGCTATGTTCATATGGGTAAAATTAACAAAATGTTTCTCGATTCTTATTTAAATATTTAGTTTAATCAAAATGCTATTTAATCTTGAGTAGGTAAGTGTTATTAATATACCATCTAGCTTTTATTCGAAGAATTGTAATAAAAATAAATAAATAATTCTCATGTGTATTTAGTGAATCGTAAAACATAGGTTTGACATGATTTTTTTTTTAGAATTGAAGGATTATTAGACAAAAATATAAAGGTGAGTGATCAATGTGTCTAGTGAATCCTTGAATTTTAAAAAAATATGTCTACTGGGTGGGGGATCTATTAAACATCGAATTGAAAGATTAAGGATTATTTAATAGAAACTTTTTAAAGTTCAATTTATTAGACACAATAATGAAAATATGAAACTATTAGATGGAACACTAAAAATACAAATACCAAACTTATAATTTAACTTTAAAAAACCTATATTAAAGTCATTTATAAAAGGAAATTAATAATGATATTAATATAAATATCAAAGCTTTCAAAACAATTGAACATATCCATCGAATAATATCAATAAAACCGTTGTCAAAATCGCAACAACCTATTTTAACTTTTAAGTTAGATATGCTATCAGAGGTAAAGTTTCTTTTTTTTTTTTTCCTTCATTCTTCTTCTTCTTTTTTTTAATGGAAAAATTCATTATAGGCATGCAAAATTCATTTAATTAAAGCCAGAATTTCCCTCCTAAAGATTTAGGAGGAAGATTCTGCTGTATTCATACATGGTCTAGCAGGTAAATAAATTGATTTTTTTAATTTTATATAATTTTTAATGTGATCTACTTGTCTATATGTTATTGGACTACATAGGGATTCAGGAGGAGTTTAAATCTTTAGGAGGAAATTTTTTTTTTCTTTAATTAGACTTTAGATTATTTTCAACTTAATTAATAAAATATGTTCCCATGTCACGTCATTATTTTGTCAACTGATATTAACTTTAAAAAATTAATACATACAAAATAGATTTATATAAACAAATAAATAGATGCATGGCATTCCATGATGTGATGTTTTGTCATGACATTTTGGATTGGAATTCAATTATGACCAATCTTTGATGCTGCAGTCCTAAAGTCTATTGTTTTTCTCTTGGATGAATGCCATTTTGCCATGTAGGTGAATTCTTTTTCCTTTTTGTGAACTTCATTTAATTCTTTCTCCAAATTTCCCATTTTCAACCTCCTCATTTGTTTCACCTACCCAACTTCAATATGCTTCCTATACATTTTCTTCGGTCAAAAAAAAAAAACATCGTTTACTTATATACTTAATTCAATGGGTCGATTTTAGTTTTCATGCTCTAATTTCATCGGTTAATCCTAAATTTGAATATTTTTTTTAGTAAAACAAATGCAAGAATGTAGGAGTGTGATGATTTGAACCTTCGACCTTATAGGAGTGAGTAGATAACTTTACAAGAGCCAAAACTACTAAAGGACATTCCATCCAAAGTAAACACCTGGATAATCATAAATGTGACATGACATACCCAAAATCCCTAAGAAATTGGTGGAAGAAGGTCGGATTAACTCTGAAAAAAGTAATCCATAAAAGGATTCGACTTGAAGTTTCAGGGTATGCCCAACCAAAGATTTTACCCACCCAATAGTGAAATCCTGCAAATAAAGCAAAAATGACTTCCATAAAAAGTACATAATGAAAATGTGCCACCACGAGTTATGCTGGCTACTTTTTATTAGTTAAATTTCATCTTTTTGAAGATTCGTGATAGTTACTATAGGCTTTTTTTTTTATTGCTATACAAGGGTTTTTTGCTACTAATTGATATTTTTAGTTGGGTTTGTACACTCTATGGTTTTTTTTTTTTTTTGAATTGTACACTTTAATTTATGTTTGATTTTGTAGTTAGGTTAGAATATTTTCATGATTTGATTTTGTCATTTTGTTGGCTTGATTTTGAATTTCTCTGGGGGTTGAATTTTACTATCATTTTTTAATTTAACTTTGTAGGATATTAATTTCAACACTCATTCAACTTCATAATTTAATTTGATAAATTAAAGGTTTAAAATTAAAATCGACTAAATGGTCTAAGTATTGGAACAAAAATGTTGTTTTTGTTTGTATTATGTTTAATAAATTAGTAGATTTTATTAAACCTTTTTTTATTCAATAAAAATAATATATCAAATAAATAAATAAAAATTCTTCTTCCTCGATGAGGAGAGAAATATTTTGTTTGCTTTTAGACAGAACAGTATTTTGACCAAAGAAGATTCCAAGAACTTTCCTTTTAGCTTAAAAAATTAGGAAATCTCTGAAGTAAAGCAAAGCTTTCAGTATTTTTAAAATTAAAAATTAAAAAATTGTTTGCCAGCTGGTATAAAATGTAGTATATACATAGATTTTGGTAAAATATTATAATATAAAAAGTCAAACATAAAAATTAGAATCCATCTTCTTCAAATAATATATATATATATATAGAATGATATGCTACTTGTAAAAGAATTAATAATTTATTTCTAATTAACAATGAAGATTTTGATTCTCTTAGAGCCCATTTAAATAAAATCTATTTAGAAAACTTTCATCAATATATCAATACTTCCCTTAAAATTTTCATAATAAATTTGTTCATCAAAGATAGTTTATATTTCTAAAATATTTGTAGAATGACATCACGATATAAGAATATTGAAAAATATTAGAAACATTATAGACCAAAAATTTGTTGTTGAGAGTGGTGTTTTTAAATAATTTTTTTTTGCATAACATAAAAATATTATAATTTTTTGCTATATATTACTGCATCATCATAATTAAAGGATCCTAAGAATAAACTAGAATTGAGCACTATTGAAACTTCGGTAGAAAAAGGTAAGATTTTGAATCAATAGAAACTATATTCAAATTTTTAAGGACTAAAAAGATATTTATCCGATAATATTTTTTATTTATATTATTTGAAAAGTGAAAAGCACGAAACCTTGTATGATAATTATTTTGTATTGATTTTCTGTTTTTTAAAACTAACATGGCAAATAGTACTACTTTTACTTGTGTATTTCTTTATTTCGCATCTATTTTCTAAAAATGTTTGCAATTTTTTAAAATAAATAAAAAAAACAGAAATCATTTTTGTTTTAAAATTTTGACTAAAAGTTGAATGTGTCTTCCAGAAAGGTGAAAATATCCTAAAAAAATTGTGACCAAACCAATATAATTTTTAAAAACAAAAAATGAAATAGTTATTAAATAGGGTAGGTAACGAAAAATACCCCAAAATCATGTACACGGGAACGTTTTTCAAAAATTAAAAACGATAAATATTGAATAGACATTAAATTATATAATTCTCAAAAAATTAGAAACTAAAAACAACAAATGTGATTAAATCATTCAACATCCATGCATGCCTAGAATTTCCCTATCCATTTTTTCTGCCAATATTGGGAAAATATCTCTCTCTCTCTCTTTTTGGTGCAACTCTTAAATTTGCAATCCAATAATTTTTAAAATTAATTAATTTTGAATCATAGAATTCATAATTCATACGTCCATAAAATCTCATTCTTTCGTAAAATTATTTATGAGTCAATTAACTAAAATAAAATTTTAAAATATTTAAATTTAGACCATAGTTCATATGTGTCCTAATATGAGTGGTGTTGACGAATATTTCATAGTTCATATTGAGATGTTTGAGTTAGATTCAAATTATTACTCTAAGATAGATAAACGAGATGTATAGATTAATACTTTTACTTTATTCTATATATATATATATATTTTTTTTTTTCATAGAAGCCAGCCCGCCCTCGCGTATAGGTGGTGAAAATTCTTTTAAATTTTTAGACCTAGAGCAAAAGTTTAGGATCGGAAGAGAAAGTATATCACACGCTTGATTATGGACCATGTCTTGAGATTTTGATAGTAGAAATATGAGAGAATTGTGATATTTGCAATACTTTTATGAACTCTCACCCAATGCATGTCATAGACCTTTGCTCTTGTCAAGTTAAATAGTTGTCAAAGTTGATTTTCCTTCTTCATTTTTCGAAGTTTTATAAAAGGCATTTTGATTATCTTTGCTAAGTTTATGGGCATGAAAGCCCTTTAAGGCACCAAAATTGTGGCCTTTAGGATCTTTTGAGCCTATTTTTACTAAACATTGAGAGATGATGTCATATTTGAAACTAATGGGATATATAACTCATAGAAATTTTGTTAAAACAAGTATAGCTCAACAATAATTGACATATATCTCAAACCAAGAGATTGTGATTTCGAATTCCTCACATCCCCACTCCACATGTTGTAATAAAAAATAAAAGATAACCTATAGAAATTTTGGTATGTTTTCACTTTGGGTATGAAGATGACATTTAATTCATTTGGAGGAGCTACGAGGAGATTATTGTTCGATTGAGATGGTGCCCTAAACTCGCTCAAGTCCTATTATTGTTAGGAGAGTGAAAGATACCATCACCAAAGAGAAACTTTTGTAGGGGCCGAGAAAATTTCTAATACTACAGGAGTATCATACTCCCTCCCATTTACACAATAAATAGAAGAAATGGACCTCACATCATTTTTAATACATTGTTGATGTGGCAAACAGTCAACGAAATGAGGTATGATACTCCTGTAGTACCAGAAATATTTCCATAGGAGCCAATAATTTGAAAATAAAGTAGACGTCTAGATCTGACATGTATAAAATTGAAAATATGAGACTAAATCGTTACCTTT